TGCGACTTTCTAATAATTGAACGCAACTCCAAAATTCTACAATATCTTTTGATCATTTAATTTTTCCAATTAACATAAAAATTTTAGATGGATTATATACAGGAGGGAAAGAGGCAGACGACGGTTGGGAGACATTTGGCAAAAAGCCTGTGAAATAGCATTATAAAGTTTTTATATAACTCTCCGTCGTACTAATATTTGTTGTTTTTCTTCACCATTCTCGATTAATTTCTTATATGTAAATTTTTATGAGTACAATGCTTTGTAACAAGCATCCAGACACTTCCCCAGATTAAGCTGCTAGATATTGGCTTCTAATCAGAGTTTGTTTTCTTCTGATACAGACCTTTTTAAAAATTTATTTTGGGAAATCTAAAAAATTCAACAATGGTTTATTTAGATTATTTCCAAAATCTAAAATATGATGGGAACTAACAACGTCTGAGTACTAAAACTAAAAGAATTGAGAAAGAAACAGATCAATTAACCTTTGGGGGCCTCATCGTAGGCCTTGATTCACCATATCTTCATTCCTCATTTCTCTATTCCTCCTAATTTTTTTAAAAAAATACACTTCACTTATTTCACTCTAATTCAAAGATTTTTAACAAATAAGTAAGAATGAAAAAAAAGTTACAAATGAAATTTACTTGTCTATTGTAACCACGTTTATTATGACGATCACTACTTGAGCTGGAATCATCATGATCATCCCGTTCTCCAGACAAAATCTGCACATTTTAGAGTTTAAAAGAGAATCGTGCGAGAAAATAACAGAAAAAGGAGAAAAAAGAAGAAAACATACATCTTGCAATAAGGGTGTGGGGAAGTGGATAGGTGATTTATGTGCAAAATGGAGTAAGAAGCAATGAATGAATGAAGAAAACATGTTAAATAGAGGTGACAGAGTAATGTCCATGAGAGTCGGAGAGAGAAGTAAGAGAAATGCATCTAATGGTTGCGTGTGAAATTGAACAAATCAAGTACGTGGTTGCGTGTGAATTGAATAAATCATCTACTGCCTCAAATTGCATTTAATGTGGGAAAAGTCTACAAAAGAAATTGGACCGTGCATAACGGAGAGATGCACTTTGACCTAGGTTGCTTTGAGAAATGGACAAAGTTAGAAAAAAGAAAAAGAAATGACTAAAAAAATGCAATGCAAAATACTGTAGGCTGAAATGGAGGAAAAAGTAGTGAAATGATAGGTTGCTTTGAGGAATGGATAAAGTCAGAAAAAGAAAAAGAAACGACTAAACAAAACAAAACACTTAATCGACAATATTTTTACTATTATCAAATTTTAAGTTTTTTTAAAAAAATTTACATCGATCCCAAATAGATATTCATATTGTGAAATATCGAA